CATACCTTAATCAACACTCATTAACTAATAGGCAGAGAAGTGAGGTCTTAGATGACTGAGCCATTTCAGAGGCCAAAACTTGGAAAGGTTTTTTTTTGGGTTGGTTTGTTTGGGTTTTTTAATGAAGCGTCAAATACTAGAGAAACAGTATTATGTGTTATATCCAAGCTTTATAGATTCTATTTTTCACTGGAAATCCGAACAGGTCCACAACAAAGATTTTCTTCTGCCAGGACTGATGGCAAAATCTTTTCTTCATAATTAGGTGTCTGCGGTCTCCAGACACCTTTCTAACTACTGCACTGCCTAGATAACGCCAATAAGCGGGTATCTCAGAACAGCCAGAAGCCTTGTTCAGGTTCAGTTAGAAAAATGGACAAAACCCCCCTTTATTGAACAATTTCAGGATGCCTTTACGTACATTCATATGATAAAACAAATACCACCACCCCAACCATTTTGCAGTCTCCTGACTGATCTAAAAAACATCATTTTACACAGGCAGACGCGTCAAACACTCGGCACTGACGTGAATGGGTTCATTCCCACATCTTCTGTGAATTCTTTGAGAAACCTATGCACACAAGCACACAAGGACTGCAACGCTTACCCACCTTGGAGATGCTTGTCAGAATTAGGCAAAGTACCTTCCACCAGAGACTATCTTAGTAGCCCAGCAAAGGGAGGGCCAGCTTGGAGCAGAGTACACTCCAAGATGTTTTAAGTGCAAGGATCTCATTTCACATGCCAGCTATGTTCATGTGCTGAATGCACATACTCAAAAAAAAAAAAAAGTAGTCTGAGGAAAGTAAGACTGAATTATTCCTTTCTGATGAGCAGAGTGAGCTAACAGAACACCTACATGTCACTACAAGCATGACAATTGGACTTCAAAGGTAAGGAATACAATGCTATTTTAAGGGTTAAAAATCCCACCTACTTGGCAAGAATATGCTTTAAACTAGCAGTAACGGTATTCGCAACTTCAGTGATACCCAAAGGGATTCCTGCAAGAACGGTGCTGCCTTACATCCCAACCGCCTTCCAGCCAAACACCATTAAGAAACAGAAAACACACCAAATCAGTGTCTCACCTAGATGATAAACAAGAGCAAAGTGGGAAGAAAGCTCTGACATTTTACCGAGGATGAAATTATCTTTTTTTTTTTTTAAATGCCCTGATCAAGTCTTCTGATTTTTTTCAAGCTACATGACACACTGTGGGTGCCCCTTCATGTACACACCCACAGCCTCTACCCCCACATCCTTCAAACCATCGACCCACAGGCACCCCCAGGACAGCACGTGGATGCTAACAACAAGGAGGAAGACAAGAACCGTCCGTCAGGAATGCAACAGCAAGGAAGCTTCCATGTCCCGGGGCCCAGAAAGAAATTTATCCTGAAATAAAAAGTCAGTTGCTAACAGAGATAGAGCAGAGCTTTTTGGTAAACACTGTCAAGTGAAAATAAAGGCTGGAAGCTTGTTAAGGAACAGTGTATCTTTCCTCTTCGGTACTTGAGCTTCCCTCAGCAAAACACACAGCAAACTCAATGTACCTTGCTGTGGTATCAGCAAGGGACAGTCGTTTTTAAGATATAGCTCCCTATAAACTCATATCAGATAACTCTTTTTCTACTTTATTGTGATGTTCCTGACTTATCACATATGACAGCGGTAGAAGGGGGGTAGCAACAACCTTGCAACCATTCCTAGCTGTAGTCAACTCCAGAAGCACCAAGACAAGCATAAAATGTTTTCCTTGGCTGCAGGAGAAAGCCGAGCTGTGGACAGCGAGATACAGCACATGGCAGAGCAGACACCACGCTGCAGAACATCAAGCTGTCGCCGCCAACAGATAAACCGCTTGCAGGAGACCGAACCAGGGAACTTGAAGATGCTGAAATTACTCATTATTAGCAGCATGTATCACATTTGGTTTCCCCCCAGATTTTTTTTTTAATCTGTATTTCAAATTTGATATATTAAATGCATTAACAGTTTTCAATTAACATGTTTCACACACATGAACTCTCTACACGGGCTGCGGGTCTGTTTCAGGCACTTTTTACAGGCCCTTGCTCATCAGGTAACGCTTCCATTTCTTGACTGGATAATTCCAACCACTGACATTTGTATAAAACAATACTTTAAACATGTTTTATTACATTAATATGATCTTCAGGCTTCGAATTCATTGTCCATGTAACTGCACAGCCAAAAACCTGTTTGTGTAAGTACACAGGCACAGCAGGATGCTGTGGGCCTGGAAACGTACTGATGGCCAAGTTTCTCAGTGCTGAGCAATCTTATTCAACCAACGCCAGGTGGAGCACAGGAAGATATTCTTTGCTTTCCCAGGGGAACGTTCCTCCAGATCTGAGGGATTAGATGCAGACGGCTGTGAATCCACCGCCTCTGCACACAGAAGCGGGAGGGGAGCCGATGATGAAGACCCAGTCGAGCTTCACTGTCTCCTCCGCGCTCAGCAAGCACACAGCCTTGAGTTCAAGGGCCTGCTCTGAAGCGCGACACTAACTGTATTTGGCCAACACCAACAAGTTTGGTCTTTCATTAGAGTTAGCCAATAACGCAAACTTTTCAGCTCAAATTAGGATGGAGCACAAGCCTTCTACATTGGCTTTCTAAAGAAATCAGGCCTGCACGAGGATTGAGCAGCTCCCGGGCTCCACTGCCAAACCCCAACCACGTTTCCCAGAGGCCGGGGGGCTCCAAGTCATTAAGCTCCTGGAAGTTGCTGAAAAAAACATGCTGCGTAGCAGAGGGCAGATGCTCAATATGCCACTGAGGAAAAGGTTTAACCATTAGACCCCAGAGAAAAGATTAGCGGCCACAGTCACAGGAAAGGCTTTGCCCAAACACTGTCTTAGATGCAAACACATCTGAAGTCAGGCTTTGCTGGGCTCTGCTGCCTGCGAATGATTTGTGCTTAATTACCATTCTACCTGTAAAACCTCTAGTATAGAGGAAGTTATAGTAATGAAGCTATTTTATTATAGCATATTTGCCCACAGAGGCCCCACTGAAGCGGCAGCACGTTAAACCCTACCACACCCTTCTGCGCTGGAGAGCAGAGGGACAAGATAGATGGTTGTGTCCCCGCACCGGCACTGACCTGTGTTTATTCCAGCACTCCGATGCCAAGATTTATCTGAACAGAGTTGGCCGATTTTGATGAATTATGTAGGTAATTCAGGGACATGAGCAAGTATTCTACTGAGTTCAGATTAATAGCCTCAATTCAAAGTGAATTTTATAAATGACCTAAACCAAGTGGGACACACACTGTCTCATGTGCATTTTAACACAATGCACTCCTTAAGGCAATTTTACTGAATATCATCAATTCCACATTTAAATGAAATTCCTGGGGAAGATCTGGAAAGAACACATATAAATTAGGCTAAATAAACCAAATCAGGAAAGAGCAAGAGAGTTTTATTTGTAGCTGCTGAACTCTGGGTATTGGGGAATCTAAAAAGTCTCTTAGGCAGAATTATTGAAATAATAAAGCACCTGCTGAAGAGACCTCTGCATGCTGTAATGAAATTATTTCATTGCTGCAGAATAATCACAAATGCAGGTTCTCTTTTGAGAGCAAAAGAAACAACGGAAGGGAAGTGGGATAGGAAAACGGAATGCAAATCACCCTCTCTGCTCACAGAGAGAGCAAAAAAGGGCCGTGACATGAAAGGAGCAAGCCTTATGGTACTGCAAACAGGCTGAGTTCCTTCCAATTTTATTTACTGTTGTGGGGTCACTTGAAAACAACTGAGAGTAAACACAGAAGGGGAACAGACGAGCACAAAAGCACCATCATATTGAAGTATTTTGTCGAGGCTTGATTTTGCCACAAGCTTGTACATCGCCTGACAAGTCATCTGCCCCAACTCCGACATAATTAAACAGTCCAACAACTACAGAAGTCCTACTAGTTGCAACGGAATTATGCAATTAAAAAAAACCAAAACCTTATCTGTGTGTAATACAGGGATGACTCCCTCCTTCCAGTCTTCTGTTCCCCATCTTTACCTTTCAGAAAGACAAGTTCTACAGAAGAAGGGTCTGTTTCATAATTTAATACTGACGCAATCTACTACATACGAATATTTAACACTACTGGGAGCTTCAATAAGTCATCTTGTACTTACAACGAACGGTCAAAATCTCGGTTTGTTTTATTCATACTCCTGTTCTTAGTCACAAGAATTCTGAAGGGCGCAGAGAAGCTAGCCATTTCCCGGGAACAACTGATTTAACCTTTTAAAAACAAGCAAACAAAACACGGGAAATTTCTTTCTTTTATTCCCACACAAACCTGCAGAACCTTATTACATTTTCATTTACTAAAGTGTAATTAATGAAGGCTTTTAAACCCTCAGAACCTTTCAAATTAATGAAAGGTCCACCCAAATAAATTAGACATGTAGTCCAAGAGCTGCAGATTTAAATTACAGTAGTTATCCTGACAGGAACCAAGAAACAGCTGTCACATACAATTATTTTTAGGGCTGCTACTAAACCCTTTTCACATTATGAGCTGCCACCTCTCAGCAGCTAACAGCAGCTTCACATTTTATCATGACAAAAAATTAGAGGCATCCAGTTATCTCCATGGGTATTACACACATTTGTAATATACTGTGCATTAAATGGAGCTAAATCCCAGTGCTGGGGGAGGAATGCAATCCTAGGCCAGCAAAGAGCTGTTACGTCACCACAGCTATGACTTCATCCTAACCCTTTAGCCAATAGAGTTACAGGAAGCAGATCTGGCCCTACTGATTGGCTCTGGAAACTTTGTGTCATAACTGCACAATGAAGTCATCACCACTGCAGGTCCCAGTACGCTCCAGCAGCCACCCCACCGGCCGGCCGAGCCTCCTCCTCCTCACCATCATGCCGGAAAAGTAACTCCATTCCAAGAAGGAGCACGAACAGCCCAGCTCACCCCGCCAGGCACACCACCTCACCACGCCATGGCTCGGCCTGCTCGCAAGCTCCAAGGCGGGAAGCACACCACTTATCTCTTCTACATCTCCATCAAGGCAGCCAAGGCCAGCCGAGATCCTGCAACTAGTAGAGAGATTTCAAAGAAATGCTCAGAAATATGGAAAGCCATGTCCAAGGAGGAGAGAAGGAAGCATGAAGAGATGGCAAAGCACCACAAGACAAAGCGCCCAAAGGAGAGAACATCGAGCCCTCTAAGGGGAGTGAGGAAAAGGCAGAGAGGGCAGCAGAGCAAGAGAGTTACGTTCAGCAGAGCAAAGCAGCCGCTACCTCCTTTCTTTCTCTTCATGGCACAGCATCGTCCACAGCTTCAGAAATCAAATCCACACTGGACAGTGGTAGAAACTGTCAAGAAGTTAGGGAAAATGTGGCACAAACAGCCAGAAGAAGACAAAGAAATGTACAAAGAGCAGGCTGCACGGCTGAGGAGGAAAAAACAAAAGAGAAAAGCATAGGTCAGGGCATGAGCCAGAAACAGCCAGGAAAGGAGCTCACAGCTGAAAAAAATCCAAGCAGAAAGGAGGAAATGAAGACTTTGATGGTCTGCTTTGCTGATAAGACTGTGACCCTCTGCAATTTCATCTCGTCACTTGTGCAACTACAGCTCCCTGTGAAGTTTCAGCACAGCTCATAAGCCTTAGTAAAATAACTGCAAACGCTAGATAACCACGATTTTTTAGACAGGGCAATAATTCAGAATTAATATAGTTGGCTCCATATTGATGGCAAGAGGAAAGCTTGTGCAGCCCAGAGATGGATGTTTCCTGCTTATCCACAAAGAAAATAGCAATGAGTCTTCTTTGCCTCCTCTCCCCTCTGAATCACGAGTTACAACACGCTCCTTCCACAAAGGAGGAATTCTAGTCCTCTAAGGCAGCAGGTCCTGGAGCCTGAGAGACAACCCCTAATGCAGACGTGCCTCAGGGGAAACACAAGGCCCTCCAGCGCTTCCAGGGCTCCTTAGCCGGTGACCTGCTTGGGCTGCGGGTCCTGTCCACAGCACACACCGTGCATGCCTCGGAGGCGACAGGGCAGATCGAACAGAGCACGCTGCGTTCTGCTGCTGCCCCACACGAGCAAGCAGGTGGAGCTTCGAAACCTCTGATCCGCCTCAGACAGGAGGGTGTGGGAACCACGGCGTCCCGCTCCCAGCTTGCGTATGCAGCCCCACACAAAGACCTGCCAGACAGCACCGTGCCTACGCAGTCGTCTGCTTAGGATGGGGCATCTCCACAACCGGCATTTGGTCCCCAGCTCCAGCAAGGCTTGGAAGTGAAGAGGAGCAGCCACCAATGGCCTCTACCGAACATATTTACCTTCTGATGAGATTCACCAGTAGTTTCTGACACTAGTAGAACTAACATGCCAAAAGACAACTGCACAGAGACTGGATGGTTGGCTAAGAGTATGGTCTTAACATACCTCAGTATATTAATATAATAGATTAATATATACAGCAATATGTAAATTTAAAATGCAGGGGCCTCCTACACAACTGATCTAAACAATTAAATGGAAGTAAGCTTGCTTTTTTTGTTTTTTGTTTTCAACTTTCAACTATTTGAACAGCAGATAAGGTGGAAGGGATGGCACTTTCCGCTCAGAGGACAGGAACAGCTAACAGCCAACTCTCCGCAGGTCAGAGAGGAGAGGAAAGCCTTGGGAAGGTGCACAAACTCAGACCCAAAACCAGCACAGGTATCTGTACCTGCCAAAGGACTGGAGGACAGAGTCTTGCATCAGAGAGATTTCTCCTCTTAACCGCAGCCTTTCCACAGGTTCCTAAAGGAAAAGTCACAGCCCATTTCCACAGAAGGGTCAGTGCCTATTTCTTTTCTTTAAACAACTCTGTCCCAGGTTCTTTCCTTTGGCTCAACCAAAGCCTAAATTTGATCCAGAAGACTAGGTCTGTTATAGAAAGGCTGATGGCCTGTGCTGTTTCACAGCTGAAGTGAAATAACAAGCAAGCACTGCTCAGGCAAGAGGTTATCTGGCTCGTAATGACATCTGTGCAAAGTCTGCACTTGGGGAGCAGGTCAATCGCTTTCCAGGTTCTCTGAAGTCTTTGCTCCCTGCATCTCATACAAGCCCAGTGCTCCTCTCCAGCTTGTCTGCTCCACGAGCACAGCCTCTGTCACTCTGCTCCCTGCTCGCGCACTTTTTAAGTTTTTTTTTTTCCCTTAAGAAGGGAAAGATTAGCAGGGAAGAGCAGGGAAAGTGTTCGTTCTTAAATGCTGCCTTGTGTATGAAGCTGCTGCTGTCTTTTGCCACATGCCCTTGCCCCAGAATTACTGGCCATTTTTTTCTGAAGTTAAAATTTCATTCCAGGCTGAAAAGTGCTGAGGTTTAACCAGTTTCCTCTCAAGATCAGGCTCTAAAACCAGTTCCTCTACCTTACATACTGCATACACACAAAAGGAAACAGTGAAAGACTCACAGTGGAATACCCCAAAACATTTCCACATTGTCCATGATGGAGCATGGCCTCAGTGCAACACATCGGGGTACTGTAAACACCACCTTCTCACCGTCCATGTGCACCAGGGGAAACACTGCGGCTCAAAGAGTCCCTGACTCCATACACCGGATTTTGTTAGGGTCTTAGCACCATCTGCTGTAATACCTGGAGACAAAGTCAGTGGTCAGCAGCTCTCACTGCTGGGAAACTTAAAAATCCAGGACATGGCCCTAGTAAGCTATCAGTACAAATGCTGACAATATTAAGTAAAAAATAATACTCTGCTATGACTTGGTAGCAGAGCATTTAAGTGAGCAGGGACAAGAAATATCACTTCAATGGTTCTCACGACTGCACGGCCGCCAACAGCTTGACAGTATCCATCAATTAAAATCTATTCCCAGCTGCACTAGTGATGGCCACAGCAGACTGTACAGCTATTTTTGTCACATTACAAATATGAAGTGGTTAAAAAAGATGCATCAAAAAGGCCCAAGATATTACCTATCCAATTATACTTTTAATGGAATCTTTGTGTCTTCCGTTCCTCAACTTGCACACTTCATAAACAACTGGCATTCAGGCAAAATCACGCTCTGTGAAGTTGGCACACAGGTTCCACTCAATTTAGCACGTCACAGTCTGTTCATGAGTAATGTCTTCAAATACCTGCAGTACTGCCTCAAAACACATACTTCTTTGCAAACACACACTCCAATAAACTCCCAGTACGGCTATTTCTACCAGCCTCTTCAGCTGAAGTGCAATCTGAGAGGCTGAAGGACAACTCTGGCTGCCAGCTCAGAATGTACAATAAAACTCCAGTTATCTGCAGTGGGAAATCTTCCACGGAGAGGAAACAGGAGGGCCCGGAAAACATTACACCTGAAGCTGGTCAAGTTTTTCACCTCTATCTGTTTTCACACTACTGGCATATAAACTATAAGTGAAAATAATTGTTGGAGCTAAGCATTAACAATGAAAAATAACACTTTTGGAGATGCCTTACAGTAGCAGCAAGGAAGCTATTGTCTTCAAAGAGCCTGTGGGCAACTGATGGAGAAAGGGGCGGTAAGTGATTTATATGGCTATCATGGGGGAACATATTTGGAGGCTTAGGGTAGGTTCCTTCATCTGCTTTCCCCATCGGAGTAAAAGCATGCAATGAAACTCCAACGGAAGCCTTTGGTTTAAGTATTGGAGCAACTGAGGCTCACTGCAAGCCTTTGCACGCTTTTCATGTACTCAAAACTAATCTTAATGACATTTTAACATCTATTAGTATCATTTTTATCGTAATGCCAACTGCGCTGTCACTGCTAAGGGAAAGATGAGTAAAGAACACCTTATAGATTCTGCAGCAGAAAATTAGCCAGACTACATCCCCTTCAAGTCAGCTAAATGGATTCACCTGGATAGCTGACAGAGACAGGGTTTGCTCTCCCTGCCATCTTGATGTGGGGGCTTCAAAGGGACTGAGTTTCCAAGTGGAAAAGTATAGCCAGAAGCGTTAGATCTTTATCCAAAGCCTTCAGAAATCCACGTCCCTGGACTCTGACCAGGGGCACAAACACACACCTGTCACCACAGCCATACCGACACTTGCACATGCTCCCCCATCTTCCTAAAAAATAAAAAAAAAAGGGGCAATCTGAGCACAAAAACATAAAATACCAGGAGACACGGGTGCTATACTCACACTCCTACTGACATCAAGAGAAGCCTGTCTGTGTAGATATTCCTTCTTTTACTTGTTAAATGGGAACAATGGCACTTCATCCTACCTCCCTCATTTAGCCGCCACACACCTTATGCTAGCAATTTTCTTCTGTGTGTGTAGAAGACATAGTCCAAAAGCTCTCATATTACAGCAACGGTAGTAGAAGCACGACAGTATTTCTGAATAGCAGATGTATTTAATAGATGTTCTCTGCAGTAACGCTTCTACATCATTGCCTTATCTGCTGCGTAACACATGCACGAGAAGTCATGTTCGCAGAAGCTTACTGATACACTGGGCGTATCACACAGGTTGGGAGTAAAAGCAAAACAAAACCCAGAAACAAAACACTGCAATTCTTTCTAGATGTTGCAGTGAGGAGTTGAGCCTTTGAAAGCACTTGTTTGGGGGTTGAGATAGCTTTTTTTTTTTTAGGATGCAGATGCACCACTAAAGATTCGGCATCCCTCAGCACACTTAAGTTATTAGCCTTATTCGCATTTCAGAGAGTTAAAGGAAATATTAAAAAAAACGTAAGATTAAACGATTATAGCAAAACCCCACATCAACTACTGTGCAGTGTAGCAAGCCATTGGCTGCATTGGTGTCCCCAGAGGGCGGTGAGCCACCCCAGTAAGTCCCCCGCAGCCTAACAGCCAGAGCAGCCCTGGGTCTGGGCAGTTTCCCTCTTCTCTCCCCTTCTTGCTCCCAGCAGCCCACGGCCACTCAAAAGGGGTTCTGAGCACAAGCCACGGCAGCCTGAGTCAGGCAAGCCTGGCAGAGACCTCCCCCAAAACTCTGCTTAGTCAGAACAGATTAATTCCTTATGACTTTAAGACTTTGGAGGAAGGGCCCTGTCATGAGTTAATTGAGATGTTACAACTTAAACACTCTTACAAAAATCAGAAATTGGAAGTGTTCTTTGCTCATTAACTGGCTGGCAAAGAATCTTCTTGTTTTAAAGAATCAATAACCTGCTTTTGTTCACAGCTTGATTTTAATATGACCAAAAACACACTAAGTTGCTCAGAAGCTAAAAAGCTACCAGGACTGTGGTGAAGAGAGCAACAGCTTGCTGCTTTTAAGTCCATCTTGCAACAAAGCACAGATTGAGCATTACAGAGCACATACCCATCTGCACAGATCTGAGAGAGAGGCCTTGTTAACTTTGATTTAGATCACAAATCACTGCAATAACAGACTCATCCTCTGCACGCCGGCACGACACTCAGCACAGCGGAGCCCTGGTTGGCGGCTGCTAGCTACTACAGTTTTAA